CACTTATGTTTTCTTTGCTAGACCGGGGACTTATTGACCGATGTGTTAATAGATTATATATTGTAAATGTACTGTAAGAGTTTTCCTATTCAAAACGCGTTCTAAAGATACACATATTTTATATTGCTCACATTTATATATGTATTTTAGGTATATATATATATATGTATTTAATATATATTTTAAGCAATTTATGTATTTCTATAGTAATAATTGCTACAATTACAAGAATTATGATATCGTGTCCTTCATAAGCAATTATTTTTATTTTTAATTACGTATAATAAAGTAAAAAGAAATAAATAAAAGTTTATGTTTCCCGGAACTATTTAAATCAAAGAAAATAAATCAAAGAAAATAAATTACAAAAACGAATACTTTATCAATCAATTTAATCTTGACATATACCTAATGTCAAGGTCATAACTCTGAGCAACCTCCAACAAGTTTTAGCCGTCACTCGTTATTCGTTAAAAAGTTATTAACAAAATAAGTTTAAAAAATAATGTCTCTTCTACTATATAAAACAAAAATTCTCTGCTCTAAAATAATGTTTCTGTTTTCTGTTTTAAAACAAAAACTTTTTTTTTTAAACATTATTTTATATAATTTTTGTTTTTACAGCAGAAAATTTGTGATTTTGTAACGACTTTTTACGCGAAGTAAAATTTATCCTGTATCCCGTCCCTGTCTAGGGGAGCACGACTTTCCACGCGAAGAGAGATCCATCCCACTTCCTCCCTGCCTAGGGGCGTACGACTTTCACGCAAAGCCAAGGTCTATCCCACTCCCTTCTTCTCTGCTAAGAGAGGCTTTTAGTAACGACTTTTCATGAGGGTCTCGTTTTGCGTGGAAAGTCGTGCACTCCCTAGACAAGGAAAGGGTGTGGAGTGAGCTTCGTTTTGCGTGGAAAGTCGTGAATCCCTAGGCAGGGAAGAGAAGATGTGGGGAAGAGATGAACCTTGCTTCATGTAAAAAGTCGTTACAAAATCCTGTTGAAAGTCACTCAGGGTCATGACCTTGATAACATATGTCAAGGTTAAGTTGATCGACGAAGGTCCGTTTTTGTAGAGATTTACTTAAAAAAGATTAATAAAGAAAATTAGATTAATAGGAGACTAGCGCGGTAAACAACTCAAAAAGCAACGTTAACAATATTAAGAATCTTTATTTTAGAATAATCGTATATGTGAGAACACAATCAATACTAGAAATTAAATGCCTGTAACTATATCGTATGTATATATAATAATTCAAGATTGAATAATTTAAGCATTAAAGATCCAGCTTTGACCGTTATAGGCATTTAATTTTTATTGGTTTGCAAATTTAACCTTTCTATCTTGACGAAATTATTATAGATTTATTTGACGTGTTTTTGCATAAAATAAACGAATCTGACAGAACAAAGTATCGTTACCTCAAAAAGAGATATTAATCATTAAAGTTGTTTTTTTAGAAAATACACTTCTTGAAGGCATGAAGTGAAATTCATATTTTTGTCGGATTGGCGCAACTATCACTTGGAAATCCATCAATTTAGAGTTATGGTATTGTTTATCGCGTTATTCTTCTATTAGCCTATTTTTTAAATTATTTTTTAATTAAAAGAAATAGTATATTTGTTATTTGATATTTAATGTCTAAGTCCATGGTATTTGCCGTGGAAATGTTTGCAATATAATCGAAATCATTTTAATGTCTAGCATCGAGGAAAGAATTTATATAATTTCTATTTTCTAATGTTCATAATGCATTACGGCTGTAATTAATTAAGAAAGCAAGAAAGAAATTTAGTGCAATATCTTTTTTAATATATTCTTAATCCTATGTACATCTTTATAATATTATTATTTTTAACATTTGTGTATATTTTTATAATTTCTTAATACACAATAAATAAATAATAATAACAACTTTTTAACATTATTATTTTTTGTAAGAGATGAATATTTCCATATTTTCTATCTATTATTAGAAGATTAGCAAATGCGATTTAATTTATTCGATCAATTTCAATAATGGCTGTT